CATTGTTAGAGCTAGTGGCCATTGTAGCATGCAGAGGCATGAACACATACATATAAAATACAAAAATAAGATATTAGATTTTGGCTATTCCATTGTAAGATAGTTATGTGCGTTGAGAGGAGGTGCACCATTAAATGAGTCATGCTAATGACAGTCAGGATATATATATATATATATTTAATTCTGATAAAGATAATTAATAATAACCAGTGTGTTGTTTCCTGGCCTGGGATATCGCAATATACAGCAACAATGACTTATTATTATTTCAAATACAATTCCACCCCAGATACATCACATTGATTGCAATACATGCATTCCTGTAAAACAATCATGCCATCCTAAAAGATTACTTGTATTTGCTGGTAGGTGTTGCTATGGAGACTTGTGGCTTACTATACTCAAAATACTTGTTTTCAATTTTATCCTTTCTGATTGTAATGGTGAAAAAATAAGGAAAAATTATTTATTCATATTGTTATTTTAGCACCATACTGGTCATTCAACACTGGCACAGATTAACAGTTAAAAGCTGCGATTTCTTGTTTCTATTCGTTTTTAGATTTGTTTATACAGTTTAGGGTGTACAGGCTAAACACAAATAATATGTACCTATATAGGCAACACCAACAAAAACAACAAATATAGTTGTCAAGTGGGGCGATGTAAAATTACAAATAACCTTGCGGTGGAGCTTATTAGTCCCCGTTCGGACGCAGTCCGAAAACGGGGACTTATGTTTTGCCCTGTGTGCGTCCGTCCGTCCGTCCGTCCATCCGTCCGTGCGTCCGTCCGTCCGTGATCACCTGTATCTCGAACATGCATGGACCGATTAAGTTCAAACTTCACTCATACATCACACATTATATGGGACATATGCACATGCATTTTTTTCATGATCTGATTAACGACAGCCGAATACCGGCCATTTTAAGGCCGAAAATGCATCAAAATCGCACATTTTCACCATTCCGGACCCGGATCTCAGTTATGCATGGACGGATTTTGTTCAAATTTGGTACATACATTAAACATAATAGGCCCTTGATGCACGTCATTTTTTTTTGGATCGGGTTCGAAATGGCCGACTGGCGGCCATTTTGTTTTAAAGAATTCAGTACTGGATCCGTATCTGAGACATGCTTGGATTGATCGAGTTCAAACTTCACACACACATGGTACATCATGTCACAAATAGATATGTGCATTTGTTTCATGATCTGCTTAACAATAGTGGAATGATGGCCATTTTAAGGCCGAAAATGCATCAAAATCACGTATTTTCACAATTCCAGAACCGGATCTCAGTCATGCATGGATGGATTTTGTTCAGATTTAGCACAATGTGTTGTACATATGCAGGTGCATTTCGGTCATGATCTGCTTTGAATGTATATGTCACTCAAATATGAACGGAACGGGGACGTGTCATTGACAATGACTTGTTTTTTGAAATTCGATTTGATTCCTATAAACATGAGGTTTTTTATGTAATGATTTAGTGGTATTGGTAGATAGTGTTTTTTAGTAAGAATCGATGAACAGTGCTGTCACATCCTGGTCGTATTCCCTGATCAAAAACTACACGTTTGAAATTGTAAAATAATCTTTCTTGTCTAGTGATGCCTGTAACAAACAAGTACGAGAGTTAGCATTCCAGTGCGACTTACTGTGAGAGTACAGCAAAGTCCATCTTACACACTGATTTGATTATAGCACATTAGGCCTAGTGTGTTTTTAATTATATAAGTGTTTTAACGATTGAACTTAATTTGATTGTGCTCAGAAAGTATTTCTAGGAAGTTGACAGACCTATTTCAGATTCGTTCGGACGATTCAACAATCACGTCAGGTGATATCCCCTCAGGTTACCATCACGACATATTAAAATAACTGCCGGGACATTCATGGTCTACCGATTCATCCAAGCTACATAGGGTACATTCCGAAGCATCAGATGAAATGTAAACAACCGTCAAAAACTGTGACGTTTCAATTACAGCTATATTATTTCAATGCTAGTTACGAGAACTTAGGATCTCTTTGCCTTTAATCATTTTGTTAAAGCAACTAAACACCGCCACCATGCGATTTATGATTCGTAATGGATCCTCGTCTATGTTCATGTAATAGTCGAGAAGTTCCGCGTCAAGTATTAATGGGTTCAATCATTAGTATAGTTATTGAAACGCGTGTTCAGTTTACCGGTGTTATTACGTATACTGCGAACATTTACACGGTATACCTTAATGTTAGAGTGGTTGACCAACTAGCATAATTTATGTGACACATCATGAATGAGTTTCTATATATTCAGCAACTCTTAGTTCAAAATCAATATAAACTCTATAATCTTTTATTGAATAGTGATTTGCAAATTAAGAAGATTAATTGAATACTCAATTGTACGCTCAAAAATGATTTAATTGTTTCCAGGATATCATTCGGAAAATCAAGGGTTACAGTAGTTTATATTTTTAGAGGTGGTTTGCTGCACGTGAAAGTGCATTTAATCCGGATCTTTCTTTTTGGACACCTGAAAACGATATGTCAAATAACATAAGTTGTCACTAGACTCATCGGAGTGTGTACAATTGGCAGAATAATCTTAAATTGTGTGATTTTTGGTATTAAAATTACCACCACCAGCATCAAGCGCCACACGGAGTGATCAACCGACCCACATTCATTTTCCACTCAAAATTAACAGATTTGTCTATAGCGTGCTAACCCTGCTTTAAATAAAATTCATATAAATGAAACGTTTTAGTAAAACAAACATGTACATAGGATGTCTTTATGTTCATCTAACATTATATTGACACATTTTTGTTTCAGAAAACATTCAATCGTTTGGACAACGCATAAAATTATATACAAATAATACATTATGGCACAAGTACAACATGCTCTCCCGTCGTTTACAAAGC